CACGGGATTCTATAGAACAAAGCAAGTGAAGCGAATGATCTAATATGAAGGTCAACATAAAGAGGATGGGATGACAATGTACTAGAACGAAAACGTGGGTGGGGGAACGGATGCGGGGTAGTTCGTATGTAATGACGCCCCAGAATGGCAAGCGTGGGACAGAGTGTTCAAGGGCGGTAAATGTAGAGGACGCACAAATGAGAGGGACCAGGAACGCTTAGAGGCGGTATGAGAACAATAACAGCAAACTACAAAGTATGTCGTCGGACCAAATCGGGGCATGATGATGGGCAATGGTCAAAGGTCATCTGTGTAATGGGTCACATGAGTGCACAGTTAATCGAACCGAACCGGAGCCAAATCTGTGGCGTGATTAATTTTTCCAATCAGGTCGATGCACCCACCACCACCGCATGACTTTCCCCATTGTGCATTGAATGGAAGCCCTTTGATTGCCTCTTCCCTCTTCCTGAAAATTGTATCTTTATATATTCAATAATAGGAAGTAAAAGAAAGAAAAAAATTCAGTCCTCAGATCGTGGGCTTATACTAGCCCGTGAACCCCAAGCGACTATAGAGGAGTACATAAAGAAACGAAAGACTTCATGTGTACGATCGCGGATCATGGCATGTTCGGTGCGACACATTGATTGCTAAATAGGGAAACCGATAAATCTTGTGCTGTCAACACATACTTTGAAGGAATCGTTGCAAGGTATCGTCCAATTTCTTAAAAGTCCTAATTTTCGGAACAAATATCAGTACACACGTACTACAGCAAAACTCGTAGAATGTAAGCGATAACATTCAGAATTCTGAACAACAATAACGAAGTTATAGTGGGTATTCATTATTTGACTAACTTTTCTGCTCCATTTCTTGTTGCCCTCAGGTTACTCTGGCTCGAATTTATTCGCACATGGACATATTTGCCATCGCTCACTTTTTCGGTTGGGTGGTAAAAACCGTTTTGCTGCGACATCGGATGATTGCATGGACATTATCCATCAATTGGGAAATTACCGAGGTGAGTTGCCCTCGTCCGATATATGTTAATTTCATTCTTGGTGTTTGGTGGTTCTTTTATTCTCATTAATAAAATTAATTTTTATGACGGATAGTGTTTTCTTTGTCATCCATGGTTGAACTTTGGTTTTGGTTGTACACCAGTACGTAGAACCTATATAACCCTAATCATTTGATGTTACACGGATGGATTTGTGAGTCTAATGTTCCAGCACCTTTCAAAATGTTGAGAGATAAAAAAGTTCCCTAATGAATATAATCTTTACTGTCCATTCAGGAATGCCAGTTAGGGAAACTAGATTTTCGCATTATTACATGTTTTATATTGTACTTGTCTGAGTGTAGATCGTCTTCTGAACAACAACAATCCTTATGACAAGGGAATCAGCTCATGATTTGCTAGTAAGCGTAATACTTCGTGATTTCCCAGATCAGAACCTAACTGACAGGATTGAGGGACGGTTTCTAAAACTGCAAACCTTTGGTGGCCGTTGTTCATAGGACGATACACCCTTTAGTAGGGGTCAAACGCCCAAGATACCCGATATGCATCGACACAATCACTCCACTGGCCATGGCGAGAAACAGAAACTCTTGGGTACGGTAGGAGTAATATTTATTTACCAATGCCATAGGTGAATCGCCCGTGATGCACTGACCCAGTTGAGGTCCGAATAATGGCTTTGGTGGGGAAGCATCTTCACCCCGTGAAGGCAATGAACTCAGTGGTTGAAGTCCCTTCGGTGTTGGGCTCGACCAGCTCCAAACTACTTCTATGCGAGTTGGGTCTTATGCAATTCTCCGTTCTAAGTTACGGGGTTCTGGTTGATGGTTCTCAGTAGTGAACACTAGGTCCCCGGATCTATAGGGCTTACCTCTTCCGCTGTTCTTCTCCCAATAAAATGCAGTAAGCAGGATAAAGGATTTTTCAGCAGTGGCCAATTGAGGGACCTGGTTATATTGGAGCATTCAGCGAAATGCAAAGAAGGGTGAACTGTTACAACCCAACCAAAGCACCCATCCTAACGAACCTGATGCTTTCGGAGGAATATAACATGCGGTGGTTTGGTNTATGAAAGAACAGAAAGAAGATTGGAATGTTGAGAGCCTACCCAAATAAAGGCAGCCAATTCATGCAGACTGTTGCAAAGATAAAGAGTAGATGCAAATATAGTTCACCTATTTGTCATTTTTCCTCGTAATATCTGTTTTTCTTCTTTATAGATCGCATTTTCCCATATCCTGCCAAATTTCAACGAATGCTGGTGGGATAGCCTTCTGTTGGATGTTCTGTTGTGCAATGGATTAGGTATTGAAGTGGGCATACTTCTTTGTCGTTGGTTGGAAATGCGCAATTTCCGGTGGGATTCTATTCGAGATATTCACGGTGCTCGAGGAAAATTGAAGCGTGCGGTTCTGCAGTTCACGCCGTTCAGGTACCTACGTGTTTTTTGCTATGTATCCAGACCGCTTGAGAATGTTGTGCAAAGGAGATCCTCTTAGTACTTTTGACCTGTGCTTTGACTAAAATGGGCTTTTCTGTCGGCAGTTGAAAGGGTTTCCACAATTTTTGTTCATCTTTCGGTGCGGTTATCGCTTAGAGGGGGGGGGGGGGGGG